CAAACTGAAGCTGTGAACAATCTCAATCTCTTCGCCATCCATCCTGACGCTGCCAATTGGTCCAGTGGTGAGAATCTTTGTCTTCTTGACATTGAGCTCAGTCCACAGAAACCCATCTGTAGTAGTTAATATATGTTGTACAGTGAGTAATTATTATATGCCAGATACCCTTCTAAGTTACTCAAATTAATACGCAGTCTTCAACAACTTTCTTTTAATCTCGTTAAATACTGAAATCAATATTGTATTCATATGTTCAGACATTTATTTCCTCAACAGCTTTTCAAGTTAATACTACTACAATTTTTTATGTGAGGAAACCAAGAAATTGAGAGATTGGGTAATTTAACCAAGATTCCACAGACAGACAGTGATAGAGGATCTCCACCCAGGATGTTTGTCTCTGCATCCCTATCTTTATAGCTCCTTGCTCTGGCTGGAACACATTCATTAAATATTTACTTACCTAATCAAGTGAGCAAATTAAAGCTTAAAGACACATAAATTTCATAGCTACAGCAGACTAAATTACCCTGGAAAATTTGACTCCAGAAATTCTATAACTCAGAAAAAGTGGTATCCTACATTGGATTCTAGAATAGGAAAAAAGACCTCAAAGTGAAAAGACCTGAAATCTTAATAAAGTCTGTAGTTTAGTTAAAGGGAAGTCTGGTGGGCCTAGGGGTAAGAAGTTGTGCTGCCAAACCAAAGGTATGTAGTTCAGATCCACTGGCTGCTCAGAGGGAGAAACAAAACCTCAGAAAACCCACTTGAGGCTCATTTAAGAGTAGGTTCTGACTTGGTAGCACAAAGTAGCAACCATTTAGTTGATAGAGTTGTAAAGGGGGGTGATTTTAATCTGCGGCCCTCAGGTCTGGATTTAATTGGTTTTGGTCAAACATTCTTCTGGGTGGTATTGCACTGGTCTGTGCATTGCTGTACAGAGGTAACTCGTGATTGCGGTGATGCTGAACACTGTGACACTGATGTGCCAAATGTGATAATGGTTACCCATGGTGGACAGTGTTTGATGGAGCTCCCCAATTAAAACAAGCTGGGAAGCAGGAGTGGCATCCACTTCCGAAACAGCTTACCTTCAGAAACTCTATAAACTTGGAAAAACAATGAAAGTTATACAAGTGCTCAGGTCTTTCATCTCTGACTTGACGGCACTTAACAGCAACAACAACATCATGGTTATATAAGATTAGGGGAAGCAGAATTAAAAGTTTATGTTGTTGTTGTTGATGAGTGCAACCCATAGTGACCCTATAAACAACAGATCCAGACCCTGTCCTATCCTGTGTTTCAAACAGACTATTCTCTTTACATCTGTTTGCTAGACAATCTTTAATAATTTCTGCAGGCAGATTATTCATTACAAGAATATATGCTATCTTTACAACTTTTTGTTAAATTTAAAATTATTTTAAAGTTGGAAGTTTTAAAAATTACCCCCTCAAAAAAGCCCCACGTTGTTCTGACTTAAACTTTAAACTGTGACCTTTTTTAAGAAAAACCTTCTTATTTAGATTGTTGTTGTTGTGTACCATAGGATCAGAAATGGCTGTAGCTGACCCTCCAGCAGGTTTTCAGTAGTAGTTAATTGGATGGGTGGAGACTGCCTGCCCATTTTTCTCCCACAGAGCAGCTGTTGGATTCCAACCGTGCGCCTTTGGGATTGCAGATCAGCTTCTTAACTCTAGGCCATCAGAGCAAAAGCATTAATATTTAGTGTTTTTTTTTAAAGAAAATCCCTGATAGACTTTAGTTAGATGAGAATAGCCTTTGTTAAAATGTCTTACGTGTCCCTTGAAATGAATAAAAATGAAAACACAACATCCCAAACCCTCTGGGACACTGCAAAGGCAATCATCAGGGAGCAGGTCATAGCAATAAACAAACATATAGGAAAAAGTGCTTGCAGCAGTGAATGAATGGAAATCCAAAATCTCTGTAATTGTTCATGAAAGTTATTTTAAAAAAATATAATACAAATTCTCAAATAATTTTACTAATTTGGAGGTTTCATTAAGTCATTTCTATTAAGGATATCAATTGTTTCACTTACTTCAAAGAAGATATGGCACAGTTTGCTCCCAAAATTCTTGCCAGATAGAAATAAATATATAATGTAGAAATGAAAAAAAAAAGTGTAAAATAAACTACTTGACTCAGCATCTCCAGCAAATAGAGAAAGAACCAGCTACTCTTACAGCCTCTAGAAGGAAGGAAATCAGAAGGACAAAAGTGAAAACACTTTGAGACAGAACACTTTTTTTTACACATTTTAATCCTAGATTAAAATGTGTTAAACATTGTTTCTCACTTGCCACAAGATACTGCTTTTAGGAAGTTCCTCTAGGGAAAAAAATATCAAGAAAAATTTTTTATTTAGTAGTTTTAAAATGTTAAACTAATTTAATAAATTTACTCTAAATTTTATTTCCATAGCACAATAAGTTTTTACCCTATGTTATCTGTAAGATTTTTCTCAAACCAATGATTCCTTATTTCTTTACTGACTATGTTTAACACTATGTGTTAATACTGCCTACACAGTTATCTTCTTCTAAAAGAATTTATTTTGTTGTGTTTGATTGGTTAAAAATGTTTCCAGGACCCACAGACTGGTAGTTTTTACCTTGAGGAAGATAGTGTGTGTTGATACTTGTCACTCCTTCATTTCTTTTTTCTCTTTAATGTTCACCAGAGCTTTTGCACTGATTTCCATAGGTTTTCCAAGATAGTGTACAAGGGGAGCTCTGGTGGCCTAGTGGAAAGGAACTGCAACTACAATCCCAGAGGCGCACGGATCAAATCCACCAGATGCTCTGCCGGGAAAGGAGGGACAATCTCCTCCTGTACCAGTCAGATCTGATTTGACGGTACACGCACACAAAAATTTAAAAAACACAAAAAAAAACACCTTGAAAAAAAAAAGATAGTGTACAGTGTTTGATAGATAAAATATCCTAGAACTAGGTTATGGAATTGAGGCCTGGGACAAGCAGTGGATAATATAAAAACAACAGCACTCTTCTCAGTTCCCTGAAATTGTTGCTTTGTGTTTTTAGTTTTGTTTTTAAGGTTTTAAAATTCATTTATTACTGCACATTTTCTTCCATCTCCCTTCTCCCCCTCCCCCAGTCCATTTTGTAATGTACCTCTTGTTCCAGATTGTTGTCATTTCTATAATACCTAATCATACATTCCTTTTGAGCCCTTCTTCTCCTCATCTGTTCCAACGCAAGTGTTTTATTATCTGTCCACTCTTTTCTTAATCTCCCTGTAACCCCTCAAGTCAGTCCTGTTTTATAACAAAGTGTTAATGCAGTATTTTGTCTTTTTGACTAAGATATTTCACTCAACAGAATGTCTTCCAAGCTTACCCATGTTGTGTAATGTTTTATGATTTCATTGTTTTTTCATTGTTCTGTAATATTCAGTGTGTGAATTCACCATCATTCATTTGTTGATTGGCACGTGGGTTGCTTCCATCTCTTTGCTGTTGTGAATAATGCAGCAATAAACATGAATGTGCATTTCCATAAAATTGTTGCTTACTCAGAAAATTAAATCTTGGTTATCTATAGACATGACTCTTATCTATCTTCTAAAAGGATAAAGAGAATGGTTTGTCCCCTTCATTGTGCTAATCTGCTGTCATATCAAACCTTCTGTCCTGTCCCCAGCTAGTGGTTTGCAAACAGTGTTTCTTAGAGACTTTGGGTCCTATAATCCCACCTCAGGTGTCCTATAATCCCACCTCAGGCAAAGAGAAATGGGAGATTTCTAGCTGGAACAACAGTGATTTTAGTTCTCATGTGTATTGGGTGCTAGGTATGATTTTGTTTGGTTCACAGAAGAGAATGACACTGACAAGCCTTTGTGGCATATGGGTAGAGGGGCTCGGCTACTTTTATTCCAGTTATCCAAGGTGTCCCTGAGAAAGCCCTCCCACTATAGGTGGTCTAGTGGGTATTGAGTTACACTGCCAACCAGAGGTAAGCGGTTTGAATCCAACAGCTGCTCTGCAGGAGAAGGATGGGAAAGCCTCTGAAAATCCGCTGGAGAGTTACTTAGAAATTGGTTCCAACTCAACAGCAAAAAAGCAAAAACACAAAAAAGCAAACGGACTAACACAGTGAGAGTTGTGTTGTTTGTTTGTTTGTTTGTTTTTCTTGTTTGCAGGATGACTTACTGTCTTTGAAAGTAGTGAGTGTGCTTCACCATCTTAGCATCAAAAGAGCCATCCAGGTCTTGAGAATAAACAACTTTGAACCAAACTGTCTGCGGAGACGACCATCTGACGAGGTACCATGTTAGATAGAGGCTCATAAATGTACACTCTCATGCATGTACGGCCCTTAACCCTTGAATTCTGCAGAAAAAGCTCCTGAATCCTTTGGGTCCTCACACTCAATTTAATTCATTTGTTGGGCGTTATATTCCTGTCTTCCTGTCTTTTTTCTTCATGGTAGCTGTAGCTACAGGACTGTTTTCTTCCCTTGTGCTGCTTCTTCTTCTTCTGCTTTTTTTTTTAACTTCCTTATGGTACTGTGTTTAAAATTTGAAGTGCCTTGATGTAAGTTCTTAAAAAAAACTAACTCAAAGTTGTAAACATTTTTTACTCTTGCTCTGAATACTCAGTAGGATGACAAGTGACTTTGTTCCGTGGGGGTGGATTGTTCGGATAGAATGTGCAGTGGGTGTAGTTGTGGGGTTCTTGTTGTCAACAGCTGAAGCTCTTGTGGCTGTTTGCTCTCATAGAATAGCTTCGCCCCCTCAGAGGTTCAGCAGTGGACCAATCACCGTGTGATGGAGTGGCTGCGCTCAGTGGACCTGGCCGAGTACGCTCCCAATCTCAGAGGCAGTGGTGTCCACGGGGGCCTCATGGTAAGCTTTGTTATTATTTCACATTGGTCAATTGTTTTGTGTCCTTTAAGAGTCAAGTATTACTGGTTTACTTGTCATCATCCTACCGTCATCTCACCCAACTCCCCTGCACTCTTTCTAGGGATCTCTACCTTCTAAGTATTGCTTTCTATATTTTCTTATTCACATCCTGTAACTGAAGCATGGTATATGCATATTTCTCTGTTACTGACATCTTTGATGCTGGTTACTCTCTGACCACTGTATCTCAATTAATCATGTTTTAAGGCCCCTTCAAAGACACACACATATATATGTATATTTTTGTTGCAGGAGTTAACTTCTGAAGGCATCAGAGAGGCAAGAGCCCTAACTTTGTGATATTGAGGTTTTAGTTCAGGATGAGTTCTACCTCGTTTGTTGTTGTTATTGTTGTTAGTTACTGTCAAGCCGTTCCTGACCTGTTGACTCCATGTATAATAGAACCAAAGGCTTTTAATCCTATACTATCCCTTGATCCCTAGAGTATTCATTAACTGGTCCCTTCTTAGAACATCTTAGCCTGTATGCCCTACTGAAACCTACTCAGCATCATAGCAACACAGCCTTCTCCATCAGATGGGTGGTGACTTGTGCACAGGGTGCTTTGACTGGAAATTAAACCAGAGTCGGTCTCCAGTGTGGAAGATGAGAATTCCACCACTAAACCACCACTACTCTCCACCATTTATTAGCCTAGGCAAAATAAAGAGACTTCAAGAGCAAAGTCCATACCTTCACCACCTCACTAGATTGTTGAGTCATTGGAGATAATCTAAATGAAAGAGCTTTGAGATTATAAATCTTGTTATGAATACCTATGATATATGGTGCCTGATGAGCTCTTACCTTTTCTTGCAGGTTCTGGAACCTCGTTTTAATGTAGAAACAATGGCTCAGTTATTGAACATTCCACCAAATAAGACTTTGTTGCGGAGACATTTGGCCACTCATTTCAACCTTCTGATTGGTGCAGAGGCCCAACAGCAGAAGCGCGATGCCATGGAGTTACCAGATTATGTCCTTCTCACAGCTACCGCCAAAGTGAAGGTTGGTTCAAACCCAGACCTGAAATGAAAGCTTGATTATTTTTTTTCTTCCCCCTATTCTTACTTCCATGTTCTATTTTCAGGGACTTAGTTTTATGAGTGGATTAAAGGTATTAGTACATCTTGAAAAGTAAGCAAAATAATTTTTGGAAGTTTCTTTCTGGAGAAAGCTTTCCATCATGTTATTTCATCTCTCTTACTCATGGCTGTCGAGTCAGAGATGACTTATGGCTGGCCCGCCTTTGGCTTTCTGAGGCTATAAATCACACAGGAGGAGACTGTCCATCTTGCAAACCACCAGAGTGGTGTGGCCCTGGCTTAGAAGCGCAACTTCTGACAGACTAGGCCTTAGAGCTCCCTATTTTATTAGAATTAACATGTAGACTACTGTCATCTGTACTTTGCCAAAGCAGATAAGCCATGACTTAGGCCCAGATATAGAGTGAAGTTGTTCAGTTTTCTCATTTCTGTGATTTAAAATTGGCTAGGTTAGCAAGCTTGGAAAACTTACTGAAGAAGTGAAGAATGTTTAGACACATGCTTTTGCTTTCCTTATCTGGGTCTGGCCAGTGACTCTTCCTCAGGGATCTGTAGCTCCTTCTTCTAAGATCATCATTTAGGACCTGAGACATGACAAGACTTGCTCCAGGCTCTGGGGCTCTGGTGGCATCGTGGTCAGGGAGTTGCACTCCCAACCCGAAGGTGCCTGATTTGAATCCACTAGCTGGTTCAAGGGAGAATGTGGACAGTTTTCCTCCCTTGGGATTTACAGCCTTTGAACACTTGCTGGATGGTCAGCTATGAATCCGTTCCAACTCAGTGGCAAGGAGTTTTTGTGTATTGATTGAGTTCCAGGCCTGAGCTTTTTCCATTAAGCCATGGCCAGGCGTACTAGCTGTGCTGGGGGAAGAGTGCTGGAGTGAGTTTAAACACAGAGTGATTAGAAAGAAGAAACTTCACTCCCCTTTCATAGAGACTCAAGGAGGAAACATGACACTATTGGAAAGGAGAGTGGAAAGACACAGATCAGGCAGGAAAAGAAAAGTTGTTTTTATAATCTAGATTGTGTGGTGTGCATGGCCACACAGTGAGCCACAGTTTATTTCAAGGCTCTTCCATCACTCCCAAGACTCTGTGTCTGGTGAGCATGCATTCCCCATACCCTTCCTTTCTCCTGTCCCTGGGAACCATGAGTCTACTGCCTGTCTCCATGCATTCGCCTAGTCTAGATGTTTCATGTAGGGAGGAGCAGGCAGTGTTTGCTTTTTTATATGTGTCTTCTTTATAAAAAAAAAAAAAGACAAGAAATGAAGAGCAAAGCAGAGCAGCAGGGATGTTGTTGATGTTAAATGCCATGAAGTTGACTGTGACTTACAGAGACCCTGTGAACATCAGATTGGAACCTTGCCCTGGTCCGCACATCCTCCTATTTCTGATATGCCTGGGCCCATTATTACAGTCACTGTGTCAGTCTACCTTATTGAGAGTCTTCCCTTCTTCATAGGCAAATGCACAGAGACAGCACTAGGCTTGTGACTTTGCCAGCATGATGTCTTTTTTTCCAAGGACTGGCCCTTCCTGACATCATACCCAAAGTATGTGGGATGGAGCTTCACTATCCATCCCTCTGAGGAACAGCCTGGTTGCAGTTCCTCCAAGATAGACTTGTTTGTTCTTTTGGCAGTCCATGGAATATTCTGTGCTCTTCTGCAGCACCACACACCAAGAGCATCCTTTCTTCATGAATCATACCAAATTGAGATGGCTTTCCCCCCCCTACTAAATCTTAATGTTACCTTTCCAAAGTTACCATAAGCAGCTTAATGTAGAGATAGTGTTCACTGGCTTTTTCAGGAACATCTGCCAGGTCCTTTTTGTGTATGTTTGATGTCCTGTATCTGTCTGAATGCATCTCATCAGTCCTTTTTCTCCCTTAGAAGATAGAGCAGAGCTGAAACTTCTGAAAGATTTTGTTCTGTTTTAGATTTGAGTCATCAGCCGGATCACCATCCCCTTAATGAGTACTCTGAAAGCCTATCCAGTAACTAAGATGAAGTTTCTGGTCTAATTATCATTGGAAATTTTCTTTCCAAAATAACTAGACTTCTGTTATCAGATGCCATGTAGAATATGGAAACCTTACAGGCACACAAGATAATCATAACCTCATACAAAGAATAATCACCATTTTCTTTTTTCTGATCTTGGATTGAAAAACCTTGAAAAATTGGATTCAGCCCTGAGCAACCACATTGTATTAAGTCCTGTTTAATCAAAACAAAAGCTCTGAACATGTTTTGCTTATCTCTGTGACTACCCAGCTAGTGTGTCAAAGAAAAACAACCTCACCCTTCTTATGTTTAGAACAAAGGCTCATGTTTCACATTGAGATCTAGAATATCTCTATGCTATTTTTGTTTTCGTTCTATAAATTTAATCATCCACTTACTCCTCTCTATATGATTGGATAATTAATTAAATTTTGCATGTACATGATCTTTTGTCATGAGTTTTAACAAACCCCTGGATACTATTATTTGCTTTTCTTTTAAAGCCAAAGAAATTAACCTTCAGCAATTTTGGGAATCTGAGAAAAAAGAAACAGGAAGATGGTGAAGAATATGTTTGTCCAATGGAATTGGGACAGACATCAGGAAATACATCTAAGAAAGGATTTAAAGCAGGGTTGGACATCCACCTATATGATGATGATGACTTGGACCGATTAGAACAGGTAAATAAACCACTCTGTGACTGTTTTTAAAGGTCTCCAAGTATTAGAAAACTGTGTACACTCATTAAGGAAATTTGTGAAAATTTTAAAAATAATAATAAAATAATATTTCCCATGTACATATTGCTTCCTATGCGTCATGCTTTGTTCTGTGCACTTTATAGGTGCTAATGTTCATAGTTTGGAAGCAGGAGTGGTATCCACTTCCCAAACAACATGCCTTTGGAAACTCTATGAACTTTGATAAATGGATGATAGTTATAGAAAGGCTTCAGACCTTTTGTTCATAGGGTTGCTATGAGTCGTGCTCGACTCGATGGCAATCAACAATAACAATGTTCATACTAATTCTAAGATATAGGGAATACTGCCAGCCTCATTTTATAGATAAGAAAAGTGAGGCACATAAAGTTCAATAACTTGTTCAGGATGGGAGAGCTGGTAGAAAAACTTAAATTCCAACCTGCTAGCCTGACCCTCTGGTGGCCTAGTGAGAAGAAGCTGAACTGCAGTTCCAAAGGTACATACATAGTTCAGGCCACAGCTGTTCCACAGGAGAGAAGGATGGGCAATCTTCTCCTGTGTGATCAACTCACTGCCTCTGAAAATCCACCAGAAGGTCAGCTATAGGTCGCTTCTGACTCTACAGGATGCCTGACCCTGAAGTCAATGTCTTCTTATCTATGCTACACTGCTTCTCTCTTAAGAAAATCTGCATATTGTACAAGATCAGAATCATACCTTTCAGGTCTAGCCTTTTCAGATCAAAGTCATAGAACATATATTGCCCTTTAAATAAGCAACAATGTGGTATTTTGTCAAATCTGAGCTTTAAGATAGATTGTTTTGAGATTTCCATTTTAAATTTCTGATTCTAGTAATAAAATATTATTATTATTATTATTAAATGTGTTTTAGCTCCTACACTATTCAGTACTACTTGTAATGTGTCTTAGACTTGTGTTAATTTTGCTTTACTTTCCTTGAAATTATATAAGGAAATTATGTCATGTTCTGGTATATTCTTTATAGATGGAAGATTCAGAAGGGACAGTGAGACAGATAGGTGCATTCTCTGAAGGCATCAACAATCTAACAGTAAGTCTGTGAAAATACATTAAAAATGTTATTCTGGATATATCTGTCATGGAGTGGCTGTGTCTCCCACAAAACGTCAGCTTGGCTGGTTCATGGTTCTCTGGGGCTTTGCAGTTATATCATGATATAACCCTGTTGTGCTCTAAGGTGATGAGCCAGTTGGCTGTTTAGTTGTAAGTAAGTGTGATTAGAGGTGCAACCCTTAGTGAGGACACAAGCCCTGATCTAACCCAAGAGGGATTTTCCTGGAGTATGGCCTGCCTGGATCTTTTTTTTTTAATCTTAGAAGAGATAAAAGGAGAGAAAAGAAACCAATGAGGGAGGGGTCTAATTACTTAAATAAAATCCCAGCTTGGAGTGTGACCCTTGGACCCATAGGTCCCTGCACTAAGAACCGCACAGATCCAAGGGAAGCCTTGGAAGACACACAGTTATCCCCCAGGGATGCCAGGCCCACCAATGCTGAAATGAGATGAGGACCTTCACCTCACACAGAGGGAGAGAAGCCTTCCTCTAGAGCTGGCACCCTGAATTTGAATTTCTAGCCTCCACCAGTGAGAACTCTGGTGGTGCAGGCCATAAAGTGTTGCACTGCTAACCAGTAGTTCCAGTCTACTAGCTGTTCCATGGAAGAAAGATAGTCAGTCTTCTCCTGTCAGTATTTACATTCTCAAAAACCCAATAGAGCATTGCTTTGAGTTGGAACCAACGAAGCCATAATGAGTTTTTCAAACTGAGAGGATAAATTTCTATTTGCGAAAGCCATCTACCTGTGCTAGTCTATGTTGGCAACAATGTTGTTGTTGATTGCCTTCAAGTCAAGCACAATTCATAGCGACCCTATGAACAAAAGACCTGAAGCCCCTCTACAACTATCAACATTGATCAAAGTTCATAGAGTTTCCAGAGGCATGTGTTTAGGAAGTGAGAAGGGTGCTGCTCTAACAGATACCTAACAATGTTGATTTGGAATTAAGTCATTGGAGGAGTCTGAAATTT